AGCCCTACATCACCATCAAAGCCTATACTGCCGTAGAGGAGGACGAGATGTCTCTGTCCCAGGGGGAAACCATCGAGGTCATTCATAAGCTCCTGGACGGCTGGTGGGTGGTCAGGTAGGACAGCACCTCCCCACTGCAGTGCCTACCTGAGTCAGCACTGGCCTGGGCATAACCTGCGTGGGCTCTGAGCTGGCTTGGCTGTGTGACTCTGGGTGAACCACTACCCCTCTCTGGGCTGTTTTCATCACAGTAGCAGGGGCCGGGGGATGAGCTCATCCTGCCTGTCCTGTGGGGTTTACTGTACTGGTCCAAAGGGGTACGAGTCCCTTTGTGACTTAGGGTCTCTTCCTGGCCGATCCACCAGTTTTTCTTCCTCTAGCAGCACAGCTGTTTGTGTCACGTGTGACAAAGGCACAGGTGACCAAGTCATTCCTCTTGCTTTGAAGACTTTCATTGGATTCCTCTCCAGGCTTCTCCTAAGGAATGTCAATAGTATTTTTTTTGGTTCTGAGGAAAACAGACTCTCTGGAGCCAGGGGGCCTCCCAGAGCCTGTGTTTTCAGAGCCCTGGGCCACCTGGGTTCGAGGCTGTGGTCACAACAAACATCTGAGCCTGGCCCTGGGCTGGGGGCTCGTTTTGAGGCAGCATTTCTCCAGTTAACACCACCCCAAGAGTCTTCCTGTGAGTCTCTCCCCATCAAGAAGGTTAGGCTTCACCTGGGTCTTCTGTGCTGTGCAGAGTTTTGCTTTCACTCCCAAATCCAGTATTGGGGGTGGAGAGGAAGCCCTACCAGGAACCTGCAGGAAAGCCGAGACCCCGCCTCACACGATCACGTTCATTTTGAACGGATCACAGGTTTTCACCCAGGGTAAAACCTAAAAGCTGTTTGGAAGAAGGCAGAGAAGAATGTGACTTTCATAAAACACAAAAGGCCATCACCACAAAATGAAACGCTGACCGTACAGTTCTGCAGATGTCCTATAGCGAGCGCCAGACCCTTGGGGGACCAGCACTCTCCACCTAACGTCCTTCCCCTTCCCCGTTGGAAGAAGAGCTGGGGGGGGGGGGGGGGGGGGGGGGGGGGGGGGAAAGGGGGGGGGGGGGCCCTGGGTTGCCCGCAGCCTCCTAACCCGCCTTCCCGGAGCCCTCCACTTCTGCCAGGGCCTCAAGGGCTGCCTCTGTTGCAGGAAGGAGGATGTCACTGGCTACTTCCCGTCCATGTACCTGCAGAAGTCGGGACAGGACCCGGCCCAGGCCCAGCGCCAGATCAAGGGCCGAGGGGCGCCGCCCCGCAGGTGTGCGAGGATCGTGGGGCTGGGTGGGGCAGGCACGGGGAGGACCGCGGGGACGTGAGGTAGAGGCGACGTCGCTGATGTTCAGTGGCCTTAGGGGTGGTCGGTGAACACGGGGAAGCCCCGGAGGGCTTCCCGGGGAAGGGGAAGGCCAACAAGGTGCGTGGGAGGTGGCCTGGGCTCTGCAGCGGGTCAGGGCTAAGTGTTCATGACCCAGGCAGGTGCATGCCCGACCTCCAGCCGCTTCCCGCTCCCTCCAGCCAGTCTTTGGACCCCGGGGCGGGGAGGTGCCCACTAGGTGTCCCTAGCGGCAGGGACGCGGGCGCGGCGGGGCCAGCGTTCTGACGACGCCCCCTCCTGCTGGGCCAGGTCGACCATCCGCAACGCGCACAGTATCCACCAGCGGTCGCGGAAGCGCCTCAGCCAGGACTCCTATCGCCGCAACAGCGTCCGTTTCCTGCAGCAGCGTCGCCGCCTGGCGCAGCCAGGGCCGAAGAGTGCAGGGAGCCCTCGGGGTGAGTGCGGGGCGGCGCGGGCCATGGGCGGGGCAAGACGGGGCGGGGCTAGAGGGCGGAGCGAGCTCTACAGGACAGGCGGGACCACGGACTAGAGGCGTGGCCCGAGGGCGCGATAGGCGGGGCGACCCAGGGGGCGGAGCCAAATGGAGCGTGAGGGCGAGAAGGCGGGAGCGGAGGGCGGGCGGAGCCAAGGGCTGGGAGGCGGGGCGGGGCCTCTGACCCGCCTGTGGTCCTCCTGCAGGGGAGAATCCGCAGAGTCAGCGTGCGAAACCGCAGCCCGCGGTGCCCCCGCGACCCAGCGCCGACCTCATCCTGCACCGCTGCAGCGAGAGCACCAAGAGGAAGCTGGCGTCCGCCGTCTGAGGCGGGGCAGCCATCCCTGTACCTTGTCTGTGTGTGTACATAGCTGGTGTCTGCCGGGGCAGCCCCGGCCCCCTCCCCACGTGGCTGTCCGCCATCTACATGAATGTTGCTTAGAGTGGACCGAGGCTCCGAAGAGATAGGCTCCGCCCCAAGGGTGTTTCTAGGATGAGGAGAGGGGACAGTGAGTTCTGCTGGGTAGAAGTTTCAAGAGCCAAGGGCCCATTGCCTTGGCCTTGGCCAAGAACAGGTCTGCAGAAGGCCAGATGCAAGAGGAACCCTGAGTCCCTCGCTGATCTTTTGCCTGTACAGAAACCTCCCGCTCTGACTGTAGTCACAAGCAGAACAGTCCTGAAGGTGGGTGGATGCAGCCCCGCCTCGAGACAGAATAAGGGTTGCAGTCCAGGGTGAAGTGTGCCTATGCAGACCCGGGGAAAAAAAAAAATAGGTGATTTAGGAATGGAGGCTCCTCTGATGATTCCCTGAGACCGGCCCCAGTTAGGAGGGTGTAATGGAAAGCTAAATTCATTAATGAACACGGCCTCACCACTTCCCCAAGCACTGCTGCTGGCCCACGGCCTCCAGATCTCTCCTGGTGGGTCCTTCCCCAAATGCAAAGCCACAGTGGAGCCGAGTGAAGTTGCAAATCTTGCAGAAGATTCTCTTGTCCAGAGGCCATGGGGTGTGTAGAGAGCTGCTCCCCCTACATGGGCAGTGGCTACTTGAGGAGGGGCAAAGCTGGTCCCCTTGGAGATGAGCCTGCACGAAGGACAAATCTTTCTGGAATCATTTGACCATCAAAGGATTGACAGAGGCCTTGGGAAAGCCACCGGAGCCCCTACCTGGTTAGGAATTTTGCATATCTTATTTGCTGGAAAAGTCTGGCTTCAATCACTATCACACGCACTGTGGGAGATCCAACAGCAGCCCCAACCCCTGCTTGTTCAGTCGCTCTCTTATCTTTTTATTAAATATATCTTACTTATTTTCATCCTTTTTAAGTTTCATATTAGACCCCCTAAGTTGAAATCCTGATCAAACATTGACCTCATCTCTTTGGTACTTCTGGGCCCCTCCAAGTGACATGTCAGCAGTAGCATTCTGTGTGTGTGGGGTGGTCAGGGAGTCACCCGAAGGCCCACACCTGCAATCCTGTAAGGGCCCGCTCCGGTCAGGCCTGCACTGTCTGTCGGCCAACAATTTCCTCAAAGCTGAATGTAGTGCTGGCTCATTTCAGCATCTCTAGTTCTGAGAACAACCTGGCAGGTGGGTATTTTATAGATGAGGGAACTGAAGCTGGGAAATAAATGCAGGCGAGTCAGGCCTTGTGGTGGACACTGGGCTAGGGAAGCTGGGGGAGGTGGCCTGGCCCTCATGGCCCTCTGAAGACCCCTAGTCCTGGGGCCTGTGTTGGAGGTGTGACTAGCTCTTTTCTCTGCCCGTCCCCGGATGGGAGGGCAGGGCTTTGAAACAGCCAGCACAGGTCATCCTGGGAACTGACAGAGACTATCAAATCCAGGCCCCAGGTCCTAGGCTGGGTCCCCCTCTCCATCTCCCTGACCCTGTCACTCCAAAGCTCCCATTTGGAGACACCCATCACCATGGCTACTGAAAACCACTCTCCTTCGGTTGCTTCCTTGGTTTAGTCACATGGGTGAGAGACACTGCTGGTCAACAGCCACTGTATCCCAAACCAGGCTCGTCCCAACTCACTCCAGGGTAAAGAGGGAATCTGGGGCTTGGGCAGCCCCTTGACTGGGTTAACACAAGACACTTAGGCTGAGCCTGCCATTCCCGCTCTGTCCTCTGATGGGCTCACCACCAGGGAGCCACACAGAAGATGAGGAGGAGCTCAGAGGCTGCAGGACAGACACTAGCTGGGTCTCCATGTCTGGCTCAGTGGCTGCGTGGAAATGAAGAACAGAGACTCCGGCCTCACTGGGACTTGAATCTTGATGACTCTCTCAGGGCTGTGTGACCTTGGCAAGCCATTCAACCACTCTCAGCCTCTTGCCCGTCCATAAAATGAGGGTTGGTTATCTTTCCCTGCCTCAGCCCTCACCCCTGATCCAGTGTTAACATCTGCTCAGCTGCACAGGAGCTGGGCCTCCCACTGGCCCCCAGTAGAGACCAGTCCTTCCTGCATTCCTTCCCCAGGAAGTCAGCCTCTGGGCCTGCACATCCAGCCACACCCTGTGTCAGTTGTGGAAGAGGAAGAGCCGGGTGGGACTATTTTCCCCTGAGGACAGGCACTGAGTTCCATTGCGAGCAGGTGCAGTGTGGGGCATGGTCTCTCCTTCCAGCTCCTGCCTTGTCTCTGTCAAAGCCCGATCTGCACAGCTTCCCCAGGCGGCCATCAGGCTGGGGGCTCCCCTTACTCAAGTGCCTTCCTCTGGATCTGGAGAGTTCTGAGTTTGGGGTCGCTAATTCCAGTGATTAATAGAGACTCTGGACACAGATGCACGCCTACCTACCTAACTGACTTCGAAGATCAACGCCAGGAGGAAAATGCTGTAAAGGAAAGGTGGTCACCCGGTTAACAGATGGACCTGGAGGATCGTGGAGAGCTGGATAAAATGCTACCCCAATGTTCAACCTACTGACCTCAGTCTCCCAATTATGGTCATATAAGTGGACACTGTTATTTTTAGAAAATGTTCCCTGAAGTATTTAGGGATAAATGATGTATATAACCTTTTCTCAAAAGGCTTAGTTAAAAATGCGTGTTTGTGCAGGCACAGTCACTCCTCCTGCTGACAGGCACCGATTGTAGATGAGCGGGAGGGGGGGACCCCGGGCTGAGAGGCTCACTGTGGGCTGCTGCTAATGTGGGTGCAAGAGTGTTCTTCATGCTATTTTTATTTTTGAAACTTTTCCATAAATCTGAAATTATTCAAAATAAAGTTCTTTTTTTTTTCTTAAAAAAAAAAAAAAAAAACAACCTTCAAAGCTCAGCTTATTTTGCCTTGGCTATGGGTGTTACTGGTTTGGAGAGTTTCCATTTTAAGCCTGACCTTTCTTGCTTCACAGAGGCAGAACTTCACAGGAGGGCTCTACTCTGTAATTAGGTCACCAGCCGTCCTCCTGACGCCTGGGAATGTGTCAGGCCACGTGGGACACCATGCAAACAGGCAGGATGACCAGTGGGTGTGCAAGTAGCCTCAGCAGGTCACCCACTCTCTGAGGCTTGGAGATGCCGACCACAGTGCCTGGGGGGAGGGGCGGGTCAGGCCCATGGGTGAAGCAGGCCAGGCCGGTGGAGTCACTGAGCAGAAAAATACAGTAAAACTTGGTTGACTTTTACTCAACTACAGGGAAGCATAAAATGCCGTACAAACAGGTATGATGCTGCAAATTACACTTCCATTTCAAAGTGGAAAAGAAAAAACCCTGGAATAATCAAAATGCTTAATAGTTCACGTCCTCGTCTTCCAGTCCCGGGTCAGGGACATCCTAAGCTTCCTGCCGTGGGGCCTGGCCGGCAGCTGTCCCTTCGTCAAGAAGCCACGTGGAGCACGGGGTCCCACTGTGAGCCCTTCAGCTGGGAGCAGTGCTTGGTCTTGCTCAGCTTCATGATGGAGAAGAGCTGCTCGCAGACGTAGGTGCTGCCGAACATGGAGAGGACCCTGGCGCAGTGGCTGCGGTACCTGGGGTAGCTGCTCCAGAGGTGCCTGTAGAACTCGGGGACGCCCACCTCGTCGTACTTGGCCTTCAGCGCCGAGTTGCACTGCAGGTCGATCACCTCCAGCTGCAGCTCTTCGCGCACGCTCTCAATCCCGGTGGAGAACGGGGCGCTGAAGAGCCTCAGCTCGCTCTCGTAGCGCTCGAAGTCGGACAGTCGTTTCTGGAACTCCGTCTTCAGCTCCGCGATCCTGGGGACGTAGTTGAGGCCGTCGCCTTGGTGTCTGGCCACCGACTTCAGCGTGGGGAAGTGGGCCAGGTTGTTCCTGGCTAGGTGCGTCTCCCAGAGGCACAGCTTGGCCAGGAAGGCGCGCAGCAGGTCGTACATCTGCGTGACGACTTGCGAATGGCCCTGGAGGGAGATGTTCAGGGTGTTCAGGTGCATGGTTACGTCCACCAGGAAGGCCAGGTCCCGGATCCAGTCTTTGGAGCTCAGCTGGGGCACCGGCTTCCCTCGGGAGGACATGAAGGAGTCGATTTCCTCCAGAGACTCAAAGAACCTCTTGAGCACCAGCCCGCGGCTGAGCCACTTAATGCCGGTGTGGTAGAGGAGGCTGCCGTACTGGCTGTCCAGCTCGTAGAGCAGCGTGGTGAACTCGCCGTGGTTCAGCCCCCGGGAGCAGACCCAGTTCACCGAGTCCACCACCACATCCATGACGTGGTCCATCTTTAGCTTCTGGGCGCAGACGGACTCTGGGTGGATGATGCAGCGGACGGATTTCAGATCCGAGCCCTTGCACAGCGTGGCCACCTTGGATTTCAGTTTGGTGATGAGGCCGCTGTTGGCATCGACCATGGCGGGGGTGCCCGTGGAGGCCACGCTCACTAGTTTCGACCAGTCGATGTTGAACTTCTTGAGACTCTTCTCCACGCGCGAGAAGACCTCATTGGCGGACTTGGTGCCCGTCATGGGCACCGTATCCAGGAGCTCCTCGGACACGTCGAAGCCCGCGTCCACGCCGCGGATGAAGATGGCCAGCTGGGTGGTGTTGTTGATGTCCGTGATCTCGTCGATGGCCAGGGAGTAGGCCACGAACGAGCGCAGCTTCTCACGCAGCTTCTCCCACAAGCTGCCGGCCACGTCCTCGGCGGGCTGCTCGGTCGCACTGTCGGGGCGCCCCGCGCTGGGCAGCGTCTGCTTCTGCTCTGAGGCGCCGGCCTCAGGGGAGCCCAGGAGGTACCTGCGCAGCCCCCTCTTGAGCTCGCGGAGCTTCTGGTCGCGCATGTGCTCCGTGTACTGGTCGTAGTGCTTGCTGTGGTTGGTCTGGTAGTGTCTCCGCAGGTTGTACTCCTTGGACACCGACATGCTCTGCTTGCAGATGAGGCACGTGGGGATGCTCTGCTCCTCCACAAAGAAGTAGGCGCGCTCCCACTTCTCCTGGAACACGCGGCCCTCCTGGTCGATCTTCCGCTTTCCCACTTCCCGGGAGGCGCGGGGGGAAAAAGAAAACTAGGTCACCCTTTGACTTCGTGGTACCACTGGGATCAAAGCACGATGGTGAACCGAGGGACACAGGGGCTGGGGCGGGAATGGCCCCTGCAGAGGGGACGTGCACACTGCTGCCCAGTGGATACCGCCTGCTGTGGCGGGAGGGTCACGTCTCAAGAAAACGTGGGGATGGATTTTTGTGAAACTTTCTTTGTGTGTGGCGTTAAGGATGAAATACGGCCTCGGGTTCCACCCGCGCTGCACCATGACCTATAACTTCCATTTTAAAAGGTAGATGGGGCTGGGGCAGGGGCAGGGGCAGGGGCAGGGGCTGGGGTGGGACTGGGGCTGGGCTGGGGGAGGGGTTAGGGCGCGGTGGGGGAGGGGTTGGGGCGGGGCAGGGGCAGGGGCAGGGGCAGGGGCAGGGGCTGGGGCTGGGGTTGGGGCGGGGCAGGGGCAGGGGCGGGGGCTGGGCTGGGCTGGCATGCGTGAGACACTGGGCTGGATCCTCAGCACCCGTAAAAATAAACAAATGAAATAAAGGCAGGCTGCCAATCAGTAAATACAAAACAAAACAAAACAAAACATAAAAAGGCATATGGGCCAAAAAAAAGGGAGCTGGGGCGGAGCTGTGGTAGAGGGCAGGCTTAGCACGTGTGAGACCCTGGGTTCACTCCCCAGCACCAGACACACACACACACACAAAATCTTTGTTCAGAGCATAGCTGTGTTTGTTATATCTGCTTCAAACAGGATGAACTGCAGTGTTATGTCTACATTTTAACCTTTTTGTAGTGCTGGGGATTGAACCAGGGATGATTTACCATTGAGCTGCGTCCCCAGTTCTTTTTGAGACAGGATCCTGCTAAGTTGCTAAGGGATCTTGCTAAGTTGCTAAGGCTGACCTCAAATTTGCAATCCTCCTGCTCACCCTCCCAAATTGCTGGGATCACAGATGTGCCCCACGACAAGTGGCCCATTTATTATTATTATTATTATTATTATTATTATTTTTAATACAAGGTTTTGCTAAATTGCTAAGGCTGACCTTGATCTTGTGATCCTCCTGCTACAGCCTCCCAAGTAGCTGGGATTAGGGGCACATGCCACTGTGCCTTCTTGTTTGCATTTCAACATATGCTTTCTCATTTGAACCCCAAGAGAACTTTGAAGTAAGGAGCAGTGAGTGCAGAAGGCCGTTTACCAGAAGGCCCCAGACCTGCAGAGCTCATGCATGCACATCTGTTCCCTGTGTTGGTGTTTAGATCTAGGAGCCTGGCCCTGGGCAGGTCAGCAAGGTGCTTCCAGAGGGTACAAGGGAAGGATTCACTGACGGAAGCCCAGCAAGTTACAGGACAGAAATCAAGTGTTGGTGGCTTGGGGCTGGGGACGGAGAGGGGAAATGACTGATAGTGGGAGGGATGCATGTGCTGGGGGATGAGGGGGACGTTTTGATGTTGGGTGTGGTGACCTTCACACAACTCTGGAGATGCACCCAAAGTGGTGGAGCCTCGCCTCTGAATGCTCCCGTGGGAGAGCAGCAGCAGCTCAGCTGTCAACGTGAGGGATGAAGGAATTCCCTTAATACAAGTGGATTTTGGGGTGGTGATGGGGTCTGAAGCCAGGGCCTTGCACAGCCTGGGAAGGTGCTTGACCACTGAGTCCACCTGATGGAGTGTAAATGGTTCCTCAGTAAAGCGAGGACATCTTTTGGCCACCAGATGAGTTTAAGGAATAGGAACATTTAAACACACGGCCTAGTTTTCAAATTTTAAATCAGGAGGCTCCCTAGTGACTGGAGAGCTTGGGAATATCACTATACCTCCTGCTTGATCACCCTATAGGACACTGACTTCCCTGCCAGGGCTGCAGGGGACATTAAAAATATTTAGCAAGTAGGGCTGGGGTCCCATGCGCCGGGATGCAAACACACAAAAAATTTAAGCACCAGCGTCTAGAAGCTTGTGCCAGGAAAAGTGAAGTATGGATCCAAGTCTCCAGCCTCCAAAAGCAAAGGCCCCACGTGAGTCTTTGCCACCGGGCCAGGGCACCCCAGGCACGACACGTCCCCTCACGCAGACACTCACCATTGCTGAGCTCGAGGCCTGGAAGCGGTCTGGAGAGAGAGGGAGGGAGAGAGAGGGAGGGAGAGAGAGAGAGAGAGAGAGTGAAGGCCATGGAGCTCGCAGTCCCCCATTAGAGTGCAGCCCAGGCAGAGGGCGGGAAGCTGAGGTGGGCAGCAGGCCAGGGCGGGGAGGCTGGCACGTGCTCACACCTCAAAGAGCAGGTGGCAAGATGCCAGCCTGGCCTGGAATCCCGGCAGCCCCCGGGCCATCCTCGGGCAGAGCTCCCTGGGCTGCCCCTTGGGTCCCGCACAGTCCCTGCCACGCTGGGGACTCCGCTCACCTAATGACTGTGAATTTGATGAAGTCTGCAGCCTCCAAGATCCTTCTCATGGAGGTGATCTCCAGGTAGCCAGGGGCTTTGAACACCACACCCGGGGGCATGCCGTCGATCACCACGCAGCCCGGGTTGAAGGTGATTTTCCTGTAGGGAACTTTCACAGGGAAGTCCACGCCAATCGCTTCACCTGGGACGCGACCAGCAACATAAAAAGCTGAGCCTCACCTACTCTTCCCAAACCATGTTTACTCTTGTTTTTTTTTGGTGGGGGGTACTGGGGATTGAATGTGGGGGCACTCCAACACCAAGCTGCATCCCCAGTACTTTAAAAAAAAATATTATTTATTTATTTATTTATTTTTTAGATGAAGATGGACACAACACAATGCCTTTATTTTTATGTGCTGCTGAGAATCGAACCCGGGTCCCACCCATGCTAGGGGAGCGCTCTACCACTGAGCCACAATCCCAGCCCCAGGACTTTTTATTTATTTTTTTAGACAAGGTCTAAATTGCTGAGGCCGGCCTCCAACTTGCAATCCTCCCGTCTCAGCCTCTTCTGTTGCTAGGATTACAGGCATATGCCAAGGTGCCCGGCACCATCCTTTATATTTCTTTATATCCTTTATATGTCAGGATTTAAAACTCATCCTCCTTGAATGAGATTCTTGGTGACTAGCTATTGCTACTTTATTCTCCAGCAGCACATGGAAAAGCTCTTTGGTTACAAATACACACTGACAGGCTGGGATATAGCTCGATGCACAGTGTGCACATGTCCCTGTTCCCAATCCCCAGCAAACAAAAAAAGACACTGTCAACAACAAAAGAGAATACTGATTCTGATCACAGCTTTTTCACAGATCAATTTCTTATAAGACATTCTTTTAAAAAGAAGCATTTCAAGCATATAAATAGTTGATATAAAAACTTACCAAATTTTCGGCTAAAGAGGTCATTGACTTGTTCTCGTAGCTGTTTAGTCTTTTCAATGCTTGATAATTTTTCTTTCTCGTTATCTAAAAATAATTAAGTAAATAAATAATCCAGGGTTATTAGTGTATTTTTCCCCCAAGAAAGCTGCTGAGAAAATGCCCATTAGCACTTCACCTGATTTATTGATCAGTTTACTTTCACCAGTAATCAGGCATTTTGGAAATTTGTAAATAAAGTCATTACAGACAATAGAGAATTTTCCAGACTATAATCCTGTATAGACACAATCCATACTACTTTTAGTGAATATTTTCAGTATCACACAAGAATGTGAACTCTCACTACCACTCTTCAATAATTAGAAATCTTAATTAGTAGAAACTGTAGCCAAAGCAATACAACAAGAAAAAGGAATAAGAGATAGTAGGACCAGAAGTCACTATTTCTCAATGTTAACATTTTATTCTATTTGATTTTAAATAACTAAAACAATCACATGGTTTAAATTGTATGCTATTCTAAAATAACATATAGAAATCCCTACCTCAGCTCTCAGTTTCTTACCCTAGAGGAACTATCTTATTAGATTCTTTGCTATCTTTCCAGATACATATTTCAACACATTTGGAACAAAAGATTATTTAATGATGGGCAATAAATAAATTACACCTCTGTAGCCAATTCCAATTCAATGACAGCTGGTACTTGAAGTTCCTACCCTATCCTGGCAAAACTAGAGTCCCAGTAATCATGATAATAGGAGTGCACTTAGTGTGTGGTGACCTACACTATTAAAAATCAACAGCTCCAAAAGACCAACCTGTGTCATAAAACAGTAAATACAGAATGGAAGGTACACTACAAATTATGATAAAGTGAGATCAATGTCCTTACCTGGAATTGCCACCTGTACAATCTTAAGATCTTCAACACCAGCTGCAGAATTCGTAATACTGAATGAATTTGTGTTTCCTTAAAAAAGAAATCATAGAAAATAATGCCATTTTGACTCTTTTTTAATATACTTTTTTAAAGTTGTAGATGGATGGACACAATAGCCTTATTTTATTAATTTATTTGATGTGGTGTTGAAGATTGAACCCAGTGCCTCAAGGCAGGCAGGTGCCCCATCACTGAGCCACAACTCCAGCCCAACAAGGACTCCCTGAGCTGACCGCTCACCTGCTGTAGAGGCTAGTTTACAACTCGGTCTCCACAGACCATGAGTCACCAGCATGATCCTTGTCAGACAGAGGACAAGAGCCCACGTACAGATGGACTTCCCAGTGCTCCAACCCTCCACAGATGCATGCTCAATAGGGGCTAAGTTATTCAGCAAATAACTCAGCCATGGCTAATTCTTATTAAAAACAAACAAACAAAAAACTGCAAGCACCTCCTGTCTGTCTAGCATGTGCTGAGGCCTGTGCTCACTGTGCAGCTTTGATGTCCCCGAGGGCCACAGCCCAGCACACAGCCACCTTGGAGAATGTTTCCCACGGGCCTCCACTTAAGTTAGTGCTGGGAGCTGTGATGCAGCTCAGTGGTCAGCACTTGCTTAGCAAGCACAAGGCCCTGAGTTCTGCCCCCATTGAGTGTAAAGAAATGAAAAATAATGAATAAATACGTAAGTGTGGGACTTGGATCTTGACGTTCAATTTTGTTCCTTACATTCTTAAAAGTACATTAAGGAAAACACCCACATGTCCACCAAAAGGTGTGGGGGCCAACTGTGATATATCCATGCAATGGAATATTATTCAGCCTTAAAAAGGAAAGAAGCTAAAAAAATAAAATAAAAAGGTGGGGGAGGGAAAAAGTTTGACACATGGTACCACGTGGATGAACCCTGAGGACAGACAGTGACAGCAGACAGACACGCCGCTTAGTCACATTTACATGGGAAATCTAGGGCAGTGAGGTTCAGAGTGAGGGAACCCAAGCTGGAGGCCATGAGGGGCTGGCCAGGGGAACGGGCAGCTGCTTCATGGCGTGTCTTGGGGTGATGGAGAGGTTCCCCTTCTTCCTTTTGAGGTGCTGGGGTGAAACCCAGGGCATTGAGCATGGTGAGGGCAGTGGATCTCAAGGCACCCGTGGGTAGGAAGCTCGAGGGTCACGTGGACACCTTGCAGTGCCTGAGACTGGGCCCTGCTGATGCTCTGGGTCACCAGCTGACTGTCCTCCCTGCCCAGGGCTGGTGCCACTGTGCGTGGCCTGGCTGTGCTGCCCACAGTGCCCGGGGGCTCTGGGTGGGCTGCCTGGACACGCCCCGTCTCGGTGTCCTCCAGTCTTCCCCTCAAGCCCTTTGAGAAGAATGAAGACCACGCGTGGCCATGACGAGGCTTCTCACCTTCGACCTTCACGTGGCCTTTGGGGTCCTCGTTTGTGTCTGCACAAACCAGCTGGGCAGACTCTGGAAAGGAAAATGTCTAAAATGACCTTCACTATTTAGTGACCTCCGGGTGTCCCCATGGTCCCACCTCCCTGAGCAACATGGGGCTGATCCTGGTGTCTAGAGTGTCTTCCATGCAGCGTCCACATGGGGAAATGGAATTGTCCAGGGGACAGTGCAGGATCCCCTCCTAAGGGGACTTATAAAGGGACTGTCCCCCCAGTCCTCCTGAGCAGAAGACGGATAAAATCCTACCTGGCTAGACATTAGACACTAGCTCCCCAAACTCAGGCTCTTTTAGCAGGACTGGCCTAAAATTGTACTAATTCTTACTAAAGACAGAAAGGCTAGCACTCAACACAAGTGCCATGGACTTGGCACTGTACTATAGGTATGTAACACGTCACCTCTGGGGGAAATGCGTGAAGGGACCTGGGACCTCTCTGGGGAAGGAGGAGGGGGAGGGAGGAGGGGAGGGAGGACTTTAAAAAAAAGAAAATGCTTCATTGTTCTAACCTTCCATTGGTAATTCCGTTTCCATTTCTTCATTGCTTGTGGAAGAACAGTCGCCTTCTGAAAGGAAAAAGAAAACTATGACCAAGGGAGAGATGCGAATTTAAAAAGAAGCCATTGCCCAGGTGGGGAGGTGCACGCTGGTGATCCCCAGAGGCTGGGGGGGGGGCTGAGGCAGGAGGATCACAAGTTCAAGGCCAGCCTCAGCAACTTAGTGAGACTTGTTTCCAAATTAAAAAAATAAAAAGAGCTGGGGATGTGACTCAGTGGTAAAGTGTCCTGGGGTTCAATCCAAAAAACAAAAAAAAAAAAAAAAAGAGAGGAACAAGTGGTGAAGTGGGAAGTATTTTGGATCACAGAGAATATTTCACGATGAACTCAAGCGAAACGCCCTGAGGCACCTCCACGCTGTACACTTAGGGGAAATCAGGCCCATCTTTGAAGTCAGGCTATTCACCCGCGTGGCCGCATGCTGGGTCCTAGGTCAGCCTCCACTCCTCTGCCTGCCATTCAGAGGTGGTGATTACAATTCACCACCTCACACAGCGGTCAGTACCTGGCACGTGGTGCTGGCAGTAGCAGGGGTCCTCCGACTCCTTCTTGACGGATACAGCTTCTGCCTTCAGGGAAATCCCTGTGAGTGCAAGGAGACCTAAGGTTAGGTGGGGGTCAGGGCCACCGGGTAACTCTACACTGTGGGGGACTCGCTGGAGGGCACTTGTCTATGCACACGGCATCATTTGTTGGGCCTTCATTTTTGAAGGCTCCTAGTGCTGAGTAACTTTGTGTTTTTCTCTTGTTAATCTGTCTTCTGTTACTGAAGCTTCAGCCATGAACCTAGTGATGGGAAGGTGTTTCTTCCCTTGCTGGCATTTTAGCCCAAATGGTTTTCATTTCAAACATGCACAGTATTTGTAATAAACTTTTTAAATATATTTTTTAGGTGTTGATGGACCTCTATTTTACTCATTTATTTACATGTGGTGCTGAGGATCGAACCCAGGGCCTCACACGTGCTAGGCAAGTGCTCTGCCACTGAGCCACGACCCTGGCCCCCTGTAGGAAACTTTTTAAAGTTCCAAGTTATCAGACACTTTTATTAGACAATTCTAATAAAAGCAATCGATAAACCTGTGAGTTCTAGCTCTGCTGCCAAGAAAAATTCCTTTCTAATTGACCCAGGGCCCTGAAACCCGCCTGACAGTGAGTGTCTGAGATGCTAATAGAAACAAGCTCATTCAGCCAGAGAGGAAGGGAAGGGAGGAGGGCAGGAGGGAGGGGAATGCAAAACTGTAGCCTTTGCACAAATATCCCAGGGGGAAAGACTGAGGCCTGCTCTCGGATCCACTCTTGCTGCACCGTGGAACCCTCAGCGGAAAGTCACATGATACTGACAGGGAACGGAATTTGCTCAGTCGAACCACATCTCCAAGGATAGGCCTCGACCAAGGAGGCCCACGTCCAGGCAGGTGGGGAGGAGGAGGCAGCAGAGGTGGGGCCAGGGTCCCTCAGGGCCTGGGGAGACGCCGACTGTGGGGAGCAGGGTCTGAGACTGGGGTCTCGGATGACCTTGTGCCTGTGGCATGCTTGGTGCCCGGGAAAGTCTCCGTGCAAGGGTGCAGGGTGCCGAGCTGCTGTGGCCATGGCCTGCAGAAGGAGGCTCTGAGCTGGAGTCTCATCAGCCCAACCTTGATCTCAGGCGCAGCTCCTGGGAACAGAGGGACTTCCTGCTCGTCAACCACAGTGCTTCACCAGCTCCCTGCCCCTGAACCTGCCCGTGTGGCAGTAACTCCAACAGTGGGCTTCCTTGAGAGGCGCACAAGCTCCGGACATTGCACACTGCGACTATCCACGCAGATGGGACAAGCCGCCCACTATTGCTAGCTCTGTAGCTTTCGTGACGCTTGACAGTCAGACTTCCAGCTGATGGTGAGACACACATGACGGCTGGCGTCACCCTGAGGCCAGCTTCTCCAGCAGCGCAGCGCTCAGCTCCGCCTGAGCCCAGCTGTCATCTGTGCCTGAGAGTCTCTACTTTCTCGTCCCCCTTCTCCCCTCGCCGGAATCTGCTAGTGGCCACGTTGTTCGCCGCAGCCAACAGGCCCCACTCCCACTGCGGGTCCTCCTGGATCTCAGAAGAGCCTGTCCCGCTCTGAGGTTGGGACTGGCCGAGTGCTGCCCAGCCGCTGTGCTCGCCTGTGTCCCTCCATGTCCCTCTGCTGACTTCACCCAGAGCCCCTGCTGCGCTTGGGTCTCCAATGTCCTCCAAAGCCCAGTGTCAAAGGCTTGGCCTGAGAGGAGCCACTGGAGATGGAGGCCCTGGAGCCACCTGGGAGGCCTTCGGATGCCTGTGGTGCCCCAGGAGGCCGTGGGCCAGGCTCTGTCCTCCTCCAGTTCCCTGCTTCCTGGCCACAGGACAAGCCACGTCTCCCCACCACACTCCACGCTAGGCCACCTCACCACAGGCCCAAGAAACATGGCCAATGGATCATGAACCCAAATCCTCAGAACTGTGCACCCCATAAGTCTCTTCTCAGGAACTGATGATCTCAAGCCTTTGTCATGACAAAGGCTCTCACAGCCACCAGCGGGACCCACGCCTGTTTCCAGACCCAGGTGAAGAGGGAGCTCAGCCCAGGCTACATGTAGATGGGACACGAGGGTCCCCTCATGGAGAAAGGACGCTTGGTGATGACAGACGGGGAGCCTGGCCAGGGATGCTGGCCACTGTGTCCTTCTCAGGGACACACCTGTCCCCTGGGGGAGGCTGGAGTGCTGACTTCCCATTTAGAACCACTGAGGCCTCCATTCTCCTGTTTTCTCCTCCCCCCCTCCTTTATTTATTTATTTATTTATTTATTTTTGGGGTACCAGGGTTTGAACCCAGGGCACTGGACCACTGAGCCACACCCCAGGCCTTTTTACATTTTATTTAGAGACAGGATCTCACTGAATTGCTTGGGATTTCACTAAATTGCCGAGGCTGGCTTTGAACTCGTGATCCTCCTGCCTCGGCCTCCCGAGCCCCTGGGACAACAGGCGTGCTCACCAGGCCTGGCCCTTTTTTGAGATTTTGGTCTAAGTTTTCTGACTCCCATGTTTAAGGCTTCCGTGCTTTCCCACCCTTGGACTGAACACTGGGTTCTTAACAAGTCTCCCTTCTGTCTTTAACACGTTCCTGTAACTCGTGCTGACTTTCTTTTCCTGAGGAGCTGGGGGCATCTCCTCGTCCATCAGAGGGGCTTTGCCACTGTACACATGGGCACTAGAACGTTCCGTGCTCCTGCGTCACAGAACACTTGGAGACGCCAGGGCTGCGAGGCAGACAAGATGCTTCCAGAAATGGAGGCTGCTCCCGGTCAGTCAGGATGGGGTTCCCAGCGCCCACTCAGGGCTCCACTCACTCCCCACTCAGGCTTCATCTAAGTAGAGACAAAATAAGACTCTGTCCCCAGACACACCTGCTCAAGGACACCTGAGTGGCCGGCGCCTACTGACCTCGAAGGCGCTCTTCCAGATATTTGGGTCAAACGTGATCACAGGTTAAACATCCAATTCTGAAAGGCTCCAGAATCAGAGGATTATGAGTGCTGACATGACCTCCCTGGTGGCAAATTCCACACGCAACCCCACGTGATGGCAACACGCGAAACACAGGTGTGCCGAAGACACCACGTAAAACCACCTCGGCTACGTGCAAAGATGTTCCTAAAATGGAAGCGCCTTTCCTGTTTCACCTCCGGTCCTGTCCCTCTGTCTCTCAGCACGCGTATGCACACACAGACACACACACAGACACATAGATAAACACAGACACAGACACACACACAAACACACAGAAACACACAGAAACAGACACACACAAACACACAGACACAAACACAAACACACATACATACAGACACAGACACAAACACACACAGACACACAAACACAAACACACACAGACACACAAACACAAACACACATAGACACACACAAACACACAGACGCACAGAGACCCACAAACACAGACACACACACACACACACACACATATTCTAAAATCCCACAAAATCTAAAATCCGAAACATCTGTGGTCCTAGCATGTTCAGTAAGGGACACTCCACCTGGATCCTTCAAACAGGGCCTCGGTCGAGGCTGATGAGTGTCCAGCCCCCTCCTCTTTTTAAAGTAAAACCAAAGAGAGTCCAGTGGTCACACCTAATTCTGAAGACCTACCAGAATCGTCCATGGGTTCAGTTTTCACACTGATGGCGCCACAGCTGAAAGGAGAAGGGGTCTGGTCAAGACAGGCCACATGAGGACTGGCCACAGGCTCCTGGGCCCTCAGAGCCCCAGCGCCCTGGATCCCCAGCCCCCAGGTCCGACCGACCCTGAATGTGCAACCGCCTTAACACGAATGTGCTGGTGACCCGCTGCAGAGTCAGAGGTGCCCGTTACCTAGCCTGGATGAAACCACTCAGAATAGAACTAGCGACACAGCCCTTCGTATTGGACTGGAAATGTTATGACTTCTAAAAAGTTACCACTTTGTGGCTGGATATGGGTGCCATTTGTCCCTTACCTTTCCTTTGGTGACAGTACTGTTCTCTCGGAGTCTGCTACCGTCCCATGGGCACCTGTGCAAGAATAAAAAGGTCCCCTGTCCCTCTCAGCCCTGGAACTGTGACCAGCGTTCAGAGCTCTGTCACCTGGGCTGGGTGGGGCTCAGTGGTGGGCACTTGCCTCGCATGGGTAGGGCACTGGGTTCGATCCTCAGCACCACATAAAGTAAAATAAAGGCATGTGTCCACGATAACTGAAAAATAAATATTAAAAAAAGACACGGGGCTGGGGCTGGGGCTGAGTGTAGAGCACTTGCCTAGTAAGTGTGAGGCCCTGGGTTCGAGCCTCAGCACCACATAAAGAAAATAAAACAAAGGTCTGTATATATCTACAACTAAAAAAATTTTTTTAAAGATATTGTGTCCTAATAATATAAAAACAAAAAAAACCAAAACAGTCCTATCAAAGCAAATGCAAGAGAACAGAACACTCCTGGCTCAAGTCATCGTGGGAGGGTGGCGGGGGAGGAGGCCCCCTCAGGTCAGACCCTGTGTCCAGGGTCATGGACTTGGGCAGAGGCTCTGGGGCGAGAGGGACAGATGGGCTGGCCTCGGCACCCAGTGGCAGAGGGTGCCTCGGACAAGGCCCTGAACTTCCCCTTTGCCTCCTGGGGAAAATGGTGGTTGTGGAGGCTGATCACATTCAGGCTCGAGGCCACAGGCTCCAGACCCACCGCTGTGGAGTCGGCACCAGACAGGCCCAGACTTGGGTCGTCACAGCAGAGCCACCACCTGCACCACCCAGGGTGGCCGTGAGCACCAGGGGGTCCTCTGCAGACACTTCCTTGGGGAAGAGCTGAGCTTCTGCAGGGCTGCTCTGGCAGAGGGTCCTGGCACCGTCCCTCACGGACCCCAGGGCACCCTATGCACATGAATAGACTTATAGTGCCCAGCCATTAAGCTCTGGTATTGTCCTGCAATGAAGATCTGAGCTGCCTGGGAGGCTGGTCACTTGGTCACCTGCCACCCCTGGTCCAGCCCTGCTCTAGCACGAGCTAGCAGAACGCACGATGGCCCCGACATGCTGTCCATGGCTCAGGGGAGCCGAGCCAGCCTGGCTGCCTGTCCTGCCTTGGTGGAGGCCACGTGGCGCCCTTTTCAGTCCTGGTCCTCCGTGACAGCCCCAGGTCAAAGGCTCCGACTACACCCCGGAAGGACAGCGTGAGGAACCGGGAGGTGGCCAAATGCGGCCTGAAGCTGCTCAGGTGCAGGTGCCCCTCTTCAGCATGAGGCCGAGGAGCTGTGCGGAGCCTGATGCCAGTGGGTGCTGGGCACCCACACAGCTTTCCAGCTGGTCTGTGGGTGGCTTCCCTCGAGAACTGACCTGTGCAGCCTCTGCTTATTGCAGGGGCCAGGGCCAGGGCCAGGGCCAGGGCCAGCTCCTCTCCAGCCCCTCCTGGGCCCGGGCCCCCTGCAGCCATCCTGACAACACAGAGGCCGTTCTTGGCTCAGCTAGCTGGTTGCACTCCTCTGGACCACAGCAGCACACCTAGGTCCCCTCTGGAAGCCAGCAGTGCCAGCGTCCCAATATGCGGGTGTCTGTGCCACACGCTTCTGTGGATGGGGAAAAGGTGGCCCTACCACCCTCTGGGGTGGCAAGCTGGGGGCCTGGGGGCAGGATCACAGCTCTCCTGGCTGCACATGTCCTTCCCTAAGCTCAAGTCCCTACAGACGGCGCCCTGACCCTGCTTGCCAAGGAGGAAGCACAAGATGTGCCCAGGTGCGAGTTTTAAGGAGAAGTAGGTGCTTGGCCGGTCGGTGCAGCCAAGCCGAGGCACAGTAGCTGTCACTTACCCAGCTGGCTCTCGGGACCTAGGAAAGGTCTGCAAGAAAACCAACACCGGTTACCCAACCGCAGCACACCAGCACGTCGCACCGCGGACGGTCCCCTCGTCAGGGCCACAGGACACTCAACAGCCAGTCAGCGAAGCCATCCAGGCAGCTCTAAGGGCACCGCGGGGAGGGCACGGGCGGGTCACCTGTGTATGATGAACGAGATCCCCGCTCTGTCCTCCAGGATGCGCTTGAGGGTGGCGAGGTCGTAATTCTCGGGGTGCTGAAAGGCGAGCCCCTCTGGGAGGCCCTGCACCTCCACAGCCGCCTGGTCGCGCAGCATCTGCTCGTACGGGACAGGCACCATCGCTGTGGTCCCCAGCGCCTTCCCTAGAGGGCAAGCCGTGGACAGCGTGAGGACGCTACCCGCGGCTGGACTTGGTGTAACCAGCGAGCCCAGCTGGTGGCGCTGGCTTTGACCACACATGGAAAGCAGAAAGCCCCTGTCCCTCTCCCTCCGCGTGCTTTACCCTCAGCCTTCACCTCCGGGAGGTGCCCAGCTGGGGTGGTATCGGACTCCGAAGGGGCGGTGAGCCCCCAGGCATGAAGCCCCATTCCTCAGAGAGATGTCACCTGAGACCCCTCATAGAGAGATGTCACCTGGAGGACCCCAAAGTCGAAAGTCCAGACCCCTGCAGGGGACGGACATGCTGAGGTCTTGGGAGGAGGAATGAGGCCCTGGGGTGCTGGTGGGGGGTCACGGAGGTGAGCTGCGGGGGCGCCTGCCATGAGTTCTCCCTGTGTGCTGGGGGCTGAGCCCAGGGCCTCCCGCAGGCACTTCTGGGCTGTCCTAAAGTCCCTGGGGGGCACGGGAGGTGCAGAGACAGCTGAGGGGAGAGGGGCCCTGGACCCAGTCTTGCTGGGGACTCTGCGAGGGGACCAAGGCAGGAAGCCTGGTCAGCACAGAGGGGCTGGATCGAGACAGATGCTGCCAAAGGACACTCAGCCTGGACCTGATTAGAAGGTAGGCTTAAAATGCCCTCAACGCCCTGGGAGCCATGCTGGTGGCTGTCACACCCTGTCCCTTAGTGACCAGAGGGCTCATGCTTGAGGTGGGCTTTACCGTAACAGAGGCAGAAGTGGTCCCCGACTGCTTTCCTGAGAGCCTCTGCTTCTCCTGAGGACGCCTGCGGCCCGCGGGCAGGGCGGGGGGGCTTCGCCTCACTTGGCTCCTCCACGAGGCCTGCCGCAGACCACGGGCAAGGTCAGCGCATGGGACCACCGGCTCCCTGCTGTGGGCCCCACTGCACCCACCACCCACAGTCCCCACCGCACCCCCCACTGCACCCACCCCACAGTCCCCACTGAGCCCACCTACAGTCCCCACTGCATCCACCTACAGTCCCCCCTGCAGGTGTTCAAAGAAAGCTGGAAAGGAACAAACAAAACCAGGAAAGAAAAGCGCGTGCCGGGTGCAGAAACACACACCTGCAATCCCAGGGACTGGGAGGCTGAGGCAGGAGGATCCCAAGTTCAAGACCAGCCTCAGCAACTCAGTGAGACCCTCCCTCAAAAAATAAAAAGAGCTGGGATGTGGCTTGGAGTTAAGAGCCCCTGGATTCAATCCCTGGTACCAAAAAAAAAAAAAAAAAAAGACTAGGGTAGGACATTTATGAACAGGACACAGCGCACTGCAATGAACCTACTGATACAGAGACCTGTAAACAGTCCAACCTGGAAAGACAGACTAGAGTTTGAAGACATTTTCATCCCAGAAATTCGTTTACCATGCTGTGGAAAGTGGCGGTCACTGTGAGGCCACCCCTCTGAACATCTGGGCCTCCAGCCATGGCCACTCCACAAGTTTACAGCGGGTTGTTTTAATCAAGATGAAGTCAGGGGGTGGAAACTGCGAAGTCATTTGGGAAGAGAAAGCTTAAAAGAATGATCAACTAGTGACAAGAAGTCAGTGCCAAGGGGTGACAAGAGTGAGGGACACTCATGGCAGTTGAGGGCGCAGCTGGGAGGCTGCCTGGGCAGCTCTGTATTGCAGGAATTCGCGGGGAGGCCTGCTCTGGAGTGCCTGGGGATCCTGAGACGTGCGGGGGGCTGGCTGGGGACCCGCAGAAGCTGCAGGAAGGCCCTGGGAGGGGAATGCCACTGTGCATCCCAGACGCTAGTGTCATTGTGTGCCTTGTAATCCCAGCTGCTGGAGAGGCTGAGTCAGGAGGAGCACAAGTTTGAGGCCAGTCTCAGCAACCTAGTGAGACCCTGTCTCAAAGAATAAGAAGGGCTGGGAGGTGTGGCTCAGTGATTTAGCACTCCTGGGTTCAATCCCTGGTACCAAACCAAACCAAACCAAAAGGAAGTTATTCCAGTGCAAGAAATATCAAAATTCTCAGTATTTGGGACACCTATTATACCTCTACCTCTACGTGGTGGAATACAGAACAACTGGAGGACCCCGCCCCCGTAATGAAGCTCCTTCCTTGGGACAGATATGAAAGAATGGATTATGTGCCCAAAGTTCTGGTCTGTCTGGGGTCTGCCTGAGGCACTGGTTTCCATCCCACTTGATTTATACTGATGAGGTTTGCACCAGAGTTTGAAGCCACTGAAAACAGAACATGCAGAATGTTAAAGCAACAGTTCCACCGTCTGGTGACAGGGAGAGCAAGGTCAAATAAGGCTTGAGAGGTCCTGGAACCTCCAGCCAGGCTAACTGGTGAGGCCTTCCCTACACAAAGTCCACATGCAAAGACTGAAACAAGTTGATGTTTTTTAAAATGTCTAAACACCAGAACAACAAGAAATAATTGATAAACTATACAAAGAAACAAGGAAACATGGCCCAAAATAATGACATAAAATTTCAGAATTAGATCCAAAAGAAATGCAGATCTATGAGCTGCCTGACAAAGAAATGAGAATAATTATCATAATGATGCTTGATGAGCTAAGAGTACAGATAAACAATTAAACAGAAACAGGTAAATAATGCATGAAAAAAATAGAACACCAAGAAAGAGAATTTATAAAAAGAATCAAACACAAACTCTAGAGTTAAAAAATACAGTAACTGAACTGAATAATTCATCAGAAGTATTCAACAGCAGACTCGACCAGTCCAAAGAAACAAGGGGGAACATGAAGGAGACAGGCTGTTGGAGATCATTGAGTCAACGGAGCAAAAGGAGGAGGGAAAGGAAAGGGAGATTAAGGGGGTTGAGAAATTCTATTAAGCAGACCAGCACATGCACAATGGGAATTCCAAAAGAAGAAAAGGACAGAGTTTATTTGAAGAAATAATGGCCCCAAGCTTCCCAAATCTGAGGAGGAAAATCAGACTTTTTTTTTTTCAAATTCAAGAAGCTCTATGAACTCCAGTGGGGATGAACCCAAGAGCCCCGCCCTGGTGGGCACTGAGAGCAGAGCCCTGCCCCGGTGCGCTGGAGAGCCCCGCCTGAACTCAAAGGCAAAGGAGAGCGTAGAGGAGGGAGAAGAAGGTGGTTTAGCACACACAGGACATTCCATAAGACCAGCAGCAGCTTCTCAACAGGAATTCTGCAGGCCAAAAAGAACAGGCTGATGTTTTCAAAGTGCTAAAAGCAGAATAAAAAAATAAACTGCCAACCAAAAACCCAGTATTTGGAAAAACTACCCTTCAAAAGTTAGGGTTCTACCTAGTGTATGATTCTGTTGTATGAGATGTCAAAATAGCAGAAATCACAGGAATAGGGAGCGGGCTGGGAGCCGGCAGGCCTGGGGGCGCTGGGAAGAAGGGTAGTTTACTGGGTATGAGGTTCAGATTTGCAAGATTCAGAGACCAGAGATCTGTTTCACAACAATGGAAACATGCATGATCCTGAGTAGCTGGATTGTAGGTAGGCGCCACCAGACCCAGTTAGAGATTTCAACCCTCTTTGGTCAGGAACAGAATAAGTAGGCAAAAACCAGAAAGGGAACAGAACACTATTCAACAACTGACCTATTTGGCCCATTAACTGCACAAGCCAATGTTCTTTAAAGTGCACATGAAATGTCTGCCAATACAAATGATATGCTGAGCCAGACCTCAGGTTTTGATAAATTCAAAAGAACTGAAATCACCTGAAGCACCTTTTTAGACTACAGTGGAATTTAATTAGAAATCAATACTGAAGAAAGGCCCCACGTAGTCAGAAATTAAGCAAAATGCTTCTAGGTAACCACAGGTCAAAAAGGAAGACTCCTCTTGCCCACGGCCTGTGCGGGCTATGAATTTTGGGTTCCCCTTGTGTGAAGTATACCAGTTGAAAAACACAGCGAAAATCACAGACCCAGAAAGTAATTCTCAAAAAGTGGGGGCAGGACGGCTCTAGGACCTAGCATCCTGCTTCAAACTAGAAGGAGAGAGAGAAGAGCCTGCTTTGCTTTATTTATACAAGGGGGCTTCAAGGGATTTTCATGGAATATTCTTTTGCCAAATAAGATAGAAGGAGGGCCGTCCACGCCCAGCGGGTAACACCGGGGTCCAGAGCTAAGAGCAGCCTCTCTAGCGGAGGGAAGACTGAGGTTATCATGTGCTTTGCATGATCCATTAAGTGAGAGAAGCCACAAAATGACCTGCAATGCCTGACCAAGATCTCCCAGGCCCCGAGGCCGAGTAGAGGTTTCCAGTAGCTCAGGGGTGCCCCCACCCCCAGACTGTGAAGGTCAGAAAATATTTTTAGCTACCTGATCACGAAAACCTATCCCAAGTGGAAGGCAGCTAAAACATTACCTCGAGGGAAAATCCTAACTTCAAACGTATGAAATGGGAAAAAGTCAGTGACCTAAGCTACCAAACCAAGAAAAGAAAAGCAATTGAACCCAATAAAAAATACAGTATGTCAGTAACAAAGAGGAGAACAGACATAACAAGGAATAGAGAGAAATAAACAAGCCAAACGCTGGCTATTAGAGAGCCAGGTGGATAGATCTTTTGCAAGATGTATTTAGGAAAAAAAGGGAAACAAATTATTAATATCGAAATAAAAGTGGAAATATTGATATGTATCTCCAACATACAGGCATTAAAACAAGAAAGCAGAGATATTACGAAACACAGAGACACAACACAGACAGGATGTCTTAGATGAATAGATAAGTGTTTTGCAGTAAAATCGTACACACATACCCCTGGCCAACCTTTGGAGGCAGCTATGTGAACTACACAGGTGTGCAAATGCACACACTCACCCATATGACCTCTGACAAAACTGTATGAATATTTTTCCTTTTTTTGCACCAGGGATTGAACCCAGGGGTGCTTAACCACTGAGCCACATCCTCAGCCCTTATTTTACTTTTTATTTTGAGACAGGGTCTTGCTAAGTTGCTTAGGGCCTCACCAAATTGCTGAGGCTGGCTTTGAGCTCACCAACCTCCTGCCTCAGCCTCCCGAGCCACGGGGATTACAGGCGTGCGCCACCACACCTGGGTTTTTCCTTTTTGGATTCCAAGGAATACCAACCTGCCAACTCGACCCTCTCTCCTCCTAGAGATGGTCACTGCACAGGTGTCAGCTCTCACACCTGAAGTCATCCTGACAAAGGCCACAAGTGCTCATTAATTCCCCAGGCCTGCTCAAGGCCCTGAAAGTCCCAAAGAGCTGATGCGGTGGCGCACACCTGTAATCAAAGTGACCCAGAAGGCTGAGGCAGGAGGGTTGCAAGTTCCACGCCAGCCTCGGCAACTTAGAAAGACCCTGTCTCAAATAAAACAAATAAAAGGGCTGGGGCAGTGGCTCCGTCGTAGCGCAGCCCTGGGTCTGTCCCCAGCACCACAACACAACACAACACGACAACAAACATGCTTAGGACAACACGTGAAGCTCAGAAGATCGTAAGACACAGCCTGGACCCCACGCATGTTCAGGTCTGGGAAACACGAGGGGGAGCGTGAACACCTACAGTATCTGGCGAAGTCCTTCTGCAGATCCTTCCTGGCGTTGACGAAGGCGCATCCCCTCTCGGTGCCCACCACGAACACGTCTGTCTCATACACGGCGATGCAGGCCACCTCCACCTTGGACTTGGCCAGCTCCTTACACTGCAAGAGAAGCAGCGAATGGCGTTGTCCAGACACGGGCAGATCTGGAGTTCAGGGGAGGAACCGAAAGTAGGTAAAGGAAGGAGTATCTGAGCCGGGCGTGGTGCCCACTCCTGTGACTCCAGAGGCTCGGGAGGCTGAGGCAGGAGGATCATCAGTTCAAAGCCAGCCTCAGCAACAGTGAGGCCCTAAGCAACTCAGGGAGACCTTGTTTCTAAATAAAACACAAATAGGGCTGGGGGTGTAGCTCAGTGGCCGAGTGCCCCTGAGTTCAACCCCTGGTCACTGCCTCTCCCCAAAAGGAATATCTGTTTGGAAAGAGAAAAATCACCATGAAAAAAATTATGGAGCAAATACCATGTCACGAAAGCCGGAAAGGAAGGTACATTAAGGTGCTACGCGCCCCTCGGTCAGGGCTTCTCCTGACCCTCTGGACGCAGACTCTTGCTTTAACAACAATTTCACAACATTATTTTGCATGGATGGTGGAGAGAACACCTACTATTCCAACATGGCCCAACACGCTAATCATTCACAACCGAGACGCCAGGTGTGAGAATTCAGACAGACACGCTCGCTGTTTGGGGCAGTGCTGCAGGTTCCTGTCCCAACAGACACAAGAATCCCCAGAGATTCTACAGATCCTCCACCTGCAGATGCTTTATCTTAGTGGTTGGAGAATCTTCTGGGCCAGCTTCGGCCTCTGTGCATCGGAAACCTCCTTTATCCTCTACACTCCATACCCTGTAGCTGGGCATGGTGGTGCACACCCAAAATCCCAGCAACCCGGGTGGGAGGCCAAGGCAGGAGGATCTTAAGTTGGAGGCCAGCCTCAGCAACTTAGCGAAACACTATCTCAAAATAAAAAACTAATAGGGCTGGGTGGGGATGTAGCACAGTGGTAGAGCACCCCTGGTTTCAATCCCTGGTACAGACACAGCGAAGTGCATGGAAGAAAAATCACCTGTAAACCCTTTACCAAGAGGAGCCACCACACACACCTGGGAACATGCACACATGCAGAGATGCGTGTTTGTTTTGAGATGGGACCACACTGTGTTGCCCAGGCTGGTCAAGAACAGCATACACGTTTAAAAACAAAATCGGGATTGTACTACTGAACATAGGCTGATATTCTGATTTATTACCTTGACATTATTTTTTTTAATATTTATTTTTTAGTTTTAGGTGGACACAATATTTTATTTTTATGTGGTGCTGAGGATCGAACCCAGCGACCTGCGCATGCCAGGCGCACGCGCTACCGCTTGAGCCACATCCCCAGCCAACATTAATTTTTGAGCATTTCTCAAAATAAAACTAAATGATCCTGAAAAAATGACCTTTAAGTGAATACATGATATTCTACGCCACGCACACCCTGGCTTAGCCGTAACATCATTTAGGGTTTTGTTCCTATTATAAATAACAGCGCTACAACCAAGGGCCGTGACGGTAAATACTCTGGGCATGTTTGGTCATTTCCAGGAGAGGGACTCTCCTTGGCGGGACACCTGCACGCAAAGAGTATAAATTCTTTTTAGGTTCTCGAAACACTGATGACAGCACTCTGGAGAGTGACTCCTGCCAATACCAAGGAGAGGCTGCGTTAGTCAGCTCTGCTGTCACTCCGACCAGAATCACTGACAAGGACGATGGAAAGGAGGAGCTCTCGGGCCTCGGCAACCAGGGGGCAGAGAGCTCTGCTCTCAGGGACAAAATATAGACCACAAAGCCAGTGCTCCCCCACCCTGCCCTTGACCTCCTCCCCGTCTCTGCCTCCTACAGTTACCACCCTAACAAACCCCCAAGGTGGACAGTGGCTCCATCTACTGAATAGGTCGCATCTCTCGTGACTTGATCATTTCACCTCTGAACGTTCTGTTTTTGGGGTGAGGGGGTACCAGGGATTGAACTCAGGGGCACTGACCACTGACCCACACCCCCAGCCCTATTTTGTAGTTTATTTGGAGACAGGGTCTCACTGAGTTGCTTAGGGCCTCGCTTTTGCTGAGGCTGGCTTTGAACTTGCCATCCTCCTGCCTCAGCCTCCTGAGCTGCTGGGATCACAGGTGTGCGCCACCGCACCCGGCTGAACATTCTTACACCGGCTGACATCTGAGCTTCTGGAGGGTGCCTCACATCCCAATCAAAGACGTGCAACCTTGCAGTCACCAGCACTGAGATCCGGTACTTGTGGGCCAAGAACAGAACATGGAAAGAGAAGACCAGCAGCTTCCGTGGAGAAAGGTGCAGGCAGACAGACAGACGGGAGCCCTGGAAGGTGCGCAGATATCCCGGCCCCATCTCCCAGCGTCAGGATGGTGTGGGGGCGGCTTTGGGTCCTGTCTTCTCCCCGGCTGGTGAGAGGCAGGGCCCTCCTCTCCTGCAAAGCTGGGCAGGACCAGCCTCCTGACCCCCAGGGCACGACCTGCGCCCATCGTGTAGGTGCGGCCATGCAGAGACGACCCTGGGTTGGGCGAGTGCAGGGCAGCTCTGACTCACAGCCGGGTACGGGGCTGGGGCCACAGGGCTGCTTGGCCAAGCGCAGGCCAGTGTGTGGCTCGGAGGCCCGAGAACTGGACAGCCCGCGTGTGGAGGACAGCTTGGGTCTGGAGGCCCGAAGACCAGGAGCGCCTAGGGCAGGGGCCAATGCACAGCTGCCCCTCCTGGGGGTGGACTTTGTGCCTAGGAAGAGGATGTCCTGAAGGTGGATGAGGTGACCACATGGTGGAGGCCCCAAAGCCGCTGAGCCACAGGCTTAAAATGGCAACTTGTGTGTATGTCTATTATCCAACATTAGGATGAACTACAGAATCACCAACAGTCGCATCTGCAGTTTCCGTCACCCCAGCCACCCAGTCCCCATCTGAACCGCGGCCAGTCTGCCCCCGGCCTCCCTGCCTCTTGGCCCCTGGATGTCCTTCACCCAAACTTCCCGTGGCTTCACATCACACCCAGAGCTTGGCGATCGGCCACCACGCACCTCCCGAGCCTGTCCTGACCACTTCCCTCGCTCTTCTGCAGCTGGCTGACCTTCTCCATGTCCTTCCCAGCTCAGGCCTTGGGTGGCCGTCCCCTGCTCCCCAATGGTGGCCTAGCTGCCCCTCCCCTGAGCCTGTCCCTGCCTCTCCTGGGTCACACACTCACACACACAGAGCTGGATCACTGTCCCCTTCCCACACAGAAGCCAAGATCTGGGAGGGCCTCGCTGTCCTCTGAAGTGCTGCAGGACCGTCCCTGCAGGGGCCTGGCCAGGGCAGCGGAGCCCGGGACGGGAGCAGGGGCCAGTCCTGCTCGGCGCCCATTGAGCACTTCTGGCCCTCTGGGAACAGCACCCACGAGCTCGCTCTGCAGGTGTCAAATAAGCCCTCAGCCAATCCCGAGGGTCCCCACTCCAGATCCTTAACTGGTCACATCTGTGAAGTGCCTGTGGCCATGGGACCTGGAGACAAGCACCTGGTGGTTATTTCTGGGGCCACAGGTCAGTCCACCGAAGGCTGCTTCTAAGGCTTTACATTTGGTTTCAGGGGATTAAAGATGACGGGTGTGGGTGGGTGGGTGTGTGTGTGTGTGAGAGAGAGAGTGTGCACATGTGTGTGCACACACCCGTGGACATGGGAGTTCCACATTTGGTGTTTTGTCAACTGACCCACTGATGTCCCTAATGGAGAAGGAAAGTGTATGTACATACATTAAAGTCAACATTTTCATTCTGTTTTCTGAACTCAGGATCTAGTCCAGGCCACACTTCCTGTCTGGCCGTCCCCTCTCTCCAGCCCCCTGGGACCTGGGTAGCTCTCTTCTCTCCGTCCGTCCTGCAGACCCCAGGACTCTGTGGGACGCCCCTCGGTCGGGCTGCTCAGAGGTCTCCTGGTCAGTCCCTGATGCTGCAGGAACCGGCAGTGCTCTCCCTTTAGGTGCACCAGCTCAGGAGGCAGCTGGTGTCCCTGTCCCTCTGTCCCAGCACTGCAGACCTCTGACCCCTGCCTAGGTGGTGGCCTTCAGGTTTCTCCACTGTGAGCTCCTGACTCTGCCTTTTAAATCAGTGTGTCTGTCAGACGTGGAGGTTTGTAAATTCCTCATCCAATTTTAACCACCCAGGCAAAGTTATGTCGTATTTATTTATTTTGTAATACTGGGGATTGAACCCGGGGCGCTCTGCCACTGAGACACACCCCCAGCCCTCTTTATTTCTTATTTTGAGACAGGGTCCCCCTAAATTGCTGAGGTTGGCCTTAAACTTGTGATTCTCCTGCCTTAGCCTCCCAAGTCACTGGGATGACAGGTGTGTGCCTCGGCACTTGGCACCAATTTTGCTCTGAATTTAGACAAGAAAAATATTTTTCAAAAGGTAACAAAGAAGCCTGGTATGGTGGCACACACCTGTGGTCCCAGGGTTCAGCAGGCTGAGGCAGGAGATTGTGAGTTCAAATCCAGCCTCAGCAACTTAGTGAGGTACTTTGCATCTCACCGAGACACCGTCTCTAAATAAAACATTAAAGAAAGGGTGGGGATGTGGCTCAGTAGTTGAGAATCCCTGGGTTCAATCCTCAGAACCAAAACACACAAAAAAACCGGCAACGAAAGTACCTTCACTACATCTCCCGTCCAGAAAGCCCACATGTATACGATCACACCCACGTTCACAAATCACAATCTGACAGCCTGCTGCCCTCTGCGGAGCACAGCCTTTCTCACACAAAATGTAAACCCTAGGGTCAGAATTCCATCTTCAGAAGTTGGCTGGATTATACTTTTCAGCAAAAGAGATACAAACAGGTTAACATCAAAAGTGTCACGGGCCGGGCAGTGGTGCACAACTGTGATACCAGCATTTGGGGAGGCTGAGGCAGGAGGATCGCGAGTTCAAAGCCAGCCTCAGCCACAGCAAAGTGCTAAGCAGCTCAATGAGACCCTGTCTCTAAATAAGATACAAAATAGGGCTGGGATGAGGCTCAGTAGCTGAGTGCCCCTGAGTTCAATCCTTGGTACCCCCCTGCAAAAATAAATAAGTGACAGGAAAGTGCCCCTCAATTCTGTGTCAATAAGGACCCACTAAGGGACGTGGCAGAAACACAGACCACCTCACCATGGACTCGAGGGCAGACACGAGGAAGGTCACCACCATCCTGTTCTCCGAAGACTCCTCATCTTCAACGGGCAGGGTGGACATCGCTACCTGGGCCATGATCCCTGTGCAAAAGAAGCAATGTGGACGTGAGTGACAGAAACCGGGGTCTCAGCACACTTCAGAGCCGTGAGGCGGCCACCAAGGTGGCCCAAACCTTCCTTCTGCACTGAGGAGCTCACCCTTGAAGATGCAGAGAGCCTGGCTGAGACCCTGAATGGGAAGGCTCCTAGGGAGCACCTGATACCTGTTCCAGGGACAGCATTTTTCTTCTATGATTCTTTAATTGTTCAGAGAGAGATTTTTCTAGCCTTTTATCAGCAGATACAACTTTGTCATCATTGTGCATTTTTCCAGATAAACTAGTTAAACTAGTTCTGAAATCTGTTAACCACCTGTATTAGGCCGTTTCCTGTTACTATAACAAAATAACAAAATATATCCATATTTCATTTTTTTAAAAAAGAGGTTTATTTAGTTCATATTTTTTGAGGTTGAAAGTCCACGATCAGGTGGCCCCATCGCTTCAGTCTCTGGTGAGGGCCTCATGGCGGATGGTAACCACAATGGTGGGAGCATAAGCAGAGGGATCAAGTGGGGAGACAGGAAGTGGGAACCAGGGAGAGGCTGGCCTTGCTCCTTTAATAACCACCTGTTTCTTAGGAACCAAGTGAGTTCCTGAGAACACAATGGGAGTCCTCCTGAGGGCAGCGCCCTGCAGACCTCCCATCTCCACTACAGCCCCCTTCTAGGGTCTCACCACCAAGGGCAGCCGGCCTCCAGCGGGGGCGTCTTGGGGACGAGGCACATCCTGCTCAGCACAGGTGCAGGCTGCTGAGCTGCCTTTGCCAGATACCTGTCCCTGCTGGGCGGCTGGAGAGGCAGCTGGCTCTTCTCAAGGATTTTTGATGGGGTTTAATTTTCTGTCTGTTTCCGGTGCTGGAAGGAAGCCAGGCCTTGGGCATGCTGAGCACGCGCCCCCCAAAGAGCCACACCCCAGCCTCTCTTGGACTGGTGTCACTGACAGAAGCGCCCTAGAGTTCACCTGCAGGGTGACTCGGACACTTTTCAGGCTCCCTGAAACCTCGACACATACTTGGCTGGTGGCCTTGCAGGTCCTGGGCTGCTAGACGCCACAGCCTGACCACCAGTTGTTGCCGGTGTGAGCCTGCTTCCGCAGCGGCCCCAGAGCCAGCCCTGCGCCACTGACCCGGCCGGGTCTCCCACTCCTCATCCGGGAAGGGTGTCAGGAGCCGCGGCGGTCATATGGGGTGTCCTGGAGGCCCTGAGGACAGAGACCATCAAGGGAATGGCATGTCCCAGGCCCCACCAACCCTGCCCCAGAGTCAGCTGTGCCTGAGGCTGAAGGTGGGAACCGCCCACAGGGTGGACACACCCATTTCTCCTTGCCTCTGCAGGTGACCGTGGCTAAACAGCTGCGTGGTGGGGTACCTGTTGAACTCTGGACAACTCTTTCCATAAAGTCTCAGCAAAGTCTTCCTCTGAGACACAGAGGGAAGCTGCTTGATGACACCTGCTGGCAGCAGAAGAAGGACCCCACTTTCTGCTAATGATATCACAGCGATCCCTAAGAGGACTGTGGCTGGGCTCAGTGTAAGAGCATTTCCCAGCAGGTGCAAGGCCCTGGGTTCCAACCCCAGCAAGGAAGCAACATATAGTCACTGTGGCACAAGCTCATTCCAGTGTCTCAGGAGGCCGAGGCAGGAGGCTCTCAAGTTGGAGGCCAATCTCAACAACTTAGATCCTCAACAGTTCAGTGAGATCCTATCTCAAAAATTAAAAAGGACTGAGGGTGCTGCTCAGTGGAAAAGTGCCCCTGGTTCCAATATCCAGTAGCAAAAATAAAAATCCTTGAAAGAAAGAGAGAGAGAGAAAAGCAGAGGGCTAGGGGTGTGGCTCAGTGGTAGAGGTCTTGCCTGGCACGCACCAGGCCCTGGGTTCCAACCCCAGTACCACAAAACAAACCATGCAAGGTGGCACACACCTGCAGGCCCAGCACTGAGAAGCCAAGGCAGGAGGACTGCAAGTTCAAGTTCAAGACCAGTTTGGGCAACTTGGTGAGATCCTGTCTCAAAAATAAAATAAAAAAGGGCTGGGTCACTTTGTCAGTGAAAAAAGTACCCCAGGTTCAATCCCAGCAGGGCAATAAATAAATAAGTAACAAGTGTGCTCTAATCCCTGGGGTTTACTGCAGCCTTAGCATAGCCACAAGTGGAGGGAAGCCCATCTCTTCTGTTCTGATGAGGCACACGCCAGGCCTGACAGAGCTCGGAGACAATGACATGATTGAAGGGAGCTAATGCCCGTCCCAAGAACATTCTCCCAAGAAACAGTCCCCACATTCTAATCAGGCTTAAGACTGCAGGGAATGAGTCTGTACTCCAGCATAAAATCTGGAGGCTACGGTGGTGACCTCCTTTCCTATCACCTCTAGGGTACCAGTGCGTTTATTTAGATCACAGATTTTATATAGTAATTAACTTCTGCTTTTTTTAAAAATATTTTTTAGTTGTTGATGGACCTTTATTTGATGTATATGTATGTGGTGCTGAGAATCGAACCCAGTGCCTCTTGCATACTAGGCAAGCGCTCTACCACTGAGCCCCAGCCCAACTTCTGCTCTTCTAAAACTGGAAATGTAAACTAAAACTAAATAAAAATAAAAATAAACAGAACCCAAACTCGCCAGCCGCCTGGACGTCCCAGCTGTCCCAGGACTCCCTCCTCCTCTGTGCGATACTTCACTGGAGCAAAGCAAACCTCCAGAACAGGGTCAGCCCTCCGCAGCCTGGGGGGCAAATCCGGAGGGCCTCCTGGTTCTGTGAATAAAATGTCACTGGAACACGGCCACGCTCACTCCTTTGCCTCTTGTTCACGGCTGCCTTCCTGCAGCCATGTGTCAAGGACCCCACGACCCGAGGTCAAAAGTACTGACAGTTCACACAAACTGAGTTTGTCACTTACACCTGGAAGGTCATCTGCTCCATCTAGTAAATCTCTGAGATCTTGAAAGAGAGGCCTGGTTGAGTCTTTAACATTTATTTCAATGTTTTCTTTTCCAAAGCTCCAGTCTTCGGGTTTCTGAGGGCTTGGTTTTAGCTACCAAGTTCTGGAGGTGCTTCTCCCACTCAGCTCAGGTCTACAGGGAATGAAGCTACAAACTCAAGTGCACCTGTTCACCACTCGATTAAAATGTACCAAGCACCGGCTGGGTGACAACTTACACTGGGGGCACGAAGGGGACTCAAGACACAAAGGAGGATAGAATCCAACTCCTGTGCTCTCGAGCGAAGCAGGCTGCATACCCAGGGCAGAATCACAGGCAAGAGGCAAGAGAGAGCGGGACACCTCGTCCAGGGCACATGGGGACAGTGAGCAACTGTGGGGGGTGAGGGAAATGAAGGCACCTTCCAAGCTCTGCAGCCCGGGGAGGAGGGAAGGGACTGTGCAGGCTGAGGCCCTGGGCTCAGGGCAGCAGACCTCAGGGGCTAAGCAACACACAGGAAGGGCAGGGCAGGGTGCAGCTCAGCAGGGGAGTGCTTGCTGGGCCTGTGCAAGGCCCTGGGTTCAATCCCAGCACTTGGGGGAAAAAAATCAGGAAGGCAGGAAGAACCAGGATGCACTCTGAATTGTTTATCACTGCAAATCACCACCAAGAAAAAAGGAAAAAGTCTGCTAGAGTCATTCAGCTGCAGCTGTAAGCTGTCTCCAACTGGCCAATTTCCAATTTCATACCCAGACATCTGTTTAACTTTAAAATTATCAGCACAAAAATAAAACATTTTTTTTTTCTTAAAACACACAAAGGTCGACTCACATGCTTTTATAGAATGGCTATTATCAAAAAGACAAAAATAGCCAGGCTTGTAATCTCAGCTACTTGGGAGGCTGAGGCAGTACTGAAAGTTGGAGGTCAGCTTGGGCAAAGGAGGAAGAAGCGCTTCCAAAATAAAATTACAAAGAAATGGCTGGGAGTGGCGCTCAGTGGTGGAGCGTTTGCTTAGCACGTGTGAGGCACTGGGTTCCACTCCAGGACACACATACGTTTTAAAGAAGAAAAATGTACAATGCTGGTAGGAATTCCAAAAGAGGGGAACTCATACACTGTTGGTGGGATTGTGAAGTAGTACAGCCACTGTGGGAAACAGTATGGAGGCTCCCCCCAAATCTGGAAACAGAAACCCGGTATGGTCCATATGCTCCAGCAATCCTACTGCTGGGTGCACATCCGAAAGATCAGAATCTGCACTTGCATTGCAATTCTACAGCACCGCTGGCAATAAATGGAATAAGGAACCCTTCCAGATGTGGAACAGGAGATGGTGGATAAAGGAAATGGGGCACATATACACACTGGAATATTATTCAGTCATGAGGAAGGACATTCCGTCACTTGCAGCAGCATGGATGGAATTGGAAGACTACGTTAAGTGAAATGGGCCAGGCACGGAAAGGAATGTTCTTAGATTTCACAGTAGACAGCAGAGGCTGGCTAGAGTGTGGGAGGAGGGACAGAGGGACGGCCAACAGTACAGGTGGATGTAAGGAATAACTTCCAATGTTCTGTAGCACAGAAGCTTAATTACGGTTGACAACAGTTGTGTATTTTAAAACAGCAGAGAATCCCGAATGTTCCTAATACAGAAAAGACAAGTACTTGGGGTGATGTCAATCACCCTGATCTGGTCATCACCACACACTGCAGACACGTATGAAAAGATCACACTGTACCCCTAAACAAATACAATTATGCATCAATTAAAAACAGGGCTGGGGATACAGCGCAGCTGGTAGAGCGCCTGCCCCGCAGGCACAGGCCCTGGTTCCATCCCCAGCACCACAAAACAAACAAAACGAACACAAAGGACAAACAGCTTGGGCTTGGAGCGGACAACACAGCCCCGGAGGCTTCTGTCCCCCCGGAACGCGAAGCCGGAACCGCGACGGGTCGCACTCCTGGCTTGAGCCTTTCCCTCCCCGGGTCGGCCCAGGCTCGCCGCCGTCAATCAGCTCCCCGGTCGCCCGGCGCGCAGCAGACCCAGACAAAACCACCCGGGAGAGCGTGACGCCGGGGGCGGAGCCCGAGCGACAACGGCGGCCCCGCCTCCCCATCCGGCCAATCAGGCGCGTCGTCACGCAGCGCAGGCGCCCCATGTACGCCAGGCGGAGCGTGACCTCGCGCGCACCGCGGCCTGGCGAGTCTCTACCCCCACCCCCCGCCCTCTCCCAGCCAATCAGAGGGGAGAGGGCCGCGCGCTGCGTGCGTGCGTGCGTGCGTGCGTGCGGCCGCGTCCCCGCCGCAGGGCTCCCGCCCCACCCCCACTCCCGGCCTTCCCGCGGGGATGGGGTTCGGGGCGCGCCCGGTGGCCGGGGCGGCCGAAGGCTCGCGCCCGCCGTGCGCCGGCCTCCCCCGCCTTCGGGAGCGGGACTGAGGCGGGCGCGCGCTCCGCGGCGGCGGCGAGGCCGGATACGCACCTGGGGACGCGGGCTGCGCGCTGCCGCGGAGTCCGGGACCGGGGGCAGCGGCCGGAGGGCGTGCGGGCGGCGGCCCTGGCTCGCGCTGCTGTGCGCGTCCGTCCCCTTCCCCGCGCCCCTTTTTGTTTGCGTCCGGAGGCGGCCTTGCGCGCGTGTCCGCAGCGCCCCAAGTGGGCGGCGCCGCTTCCGGTGCTCGCGTCCCGCCAGCTGCCCGACTGCGCTGCCTGGCGCCCGGCCGCAAGCCCCGAGGAAGGCCGCCGATGGTCGGTCTCGGCCCGGGCGTGCCCGCCAGTCCTCGGCCGCCCGCCAGGCCCCTCCGCTCGACGTCGCAGTCGCGGCGTTCGGATTAGGTTGCGGTCCCCGAGGGTCGGCGGGCCGTTTTCTCGTTGCCTAGATGTAACGTCGCGCCTCGTTGACACTTTCAGGAAACCTCACGTTGCGGGCACAGCTGAACGGAACTGTCCCCCCCAAACGAGAGATGGGTCTTGTGCGGCTCAGGTGGCCTCAAGCCATCCTCCCGCCGCAGCCTGTGCGGCTCAGGTGGCCTCAAGCCATCCTCCCGCCGCAGCCTGCCGAGGGGCCAGGACCGCAAGCGTCCCCCCAGGCCGTGCGACGACGCTCCTCCTGTCCTTGTCCCTGGCGGCAGCTGCCCAGGTCCACGTGCTAAGGTGCATGTTTCTTTTGCAAAGAGACAGGGGCTCCCGCGTTGCTAGCATTTCTTTCTAGTGGCTGTCGAGGATTTATTTACTAGCAGATGCCCTCCCCCCCCCAAAAAAAAAAAAGTTATTTCAAAGCAAAGACAACAACCCAGCAGTTTGTCGGGAAGGTGTCTGCTCTTTATGCATTTTAACAAGAGCTGTTTGCAAAGCTTTTATTAGTTACAGTCCATCCTGATTCACAGCTGTTCCCTGAAGTCCCGGGACCCTTGCTCCTAGAGATCTGGGCGTCAGATCTGGATGGGGCCTTTCTGTGAACCTGCTAATACATGTGTTTGTGGGTTTCTACGGAAGGACTCTAGTCGATGTGCATTGTTGACCCTGAACTTAGAGCCCAAAGCACTGTAATTCATGCCACATCCAGTCCATCTCTTTCAACGTAGGCGGTAGGCCACATCGCAGCAAAGCCCTGAAATCTCTCTCTCTGTCACACACAGACACACGCAAGAAAAGTATGTGGGAAAATGCAACATTAACTAGACCAAGAAGCAAATCTTGTTTGTAGTTTAGAGGAAGACAGAACCTCGCCTCGTGTGACCTCTGCTGCGCACCTGCAAGGCGAGCACCTCACCCCTGGGCAGGTCTGCGAATGCCTGGGGAAGCACCAATAAACTGTAGGCAAATCCATCAATGAAGAATTCAGGAATAATGAGGATTAACTGTATTGCCAAAAATTATGAGAGGACAAAACTCTTTATTTCTCTACTTAGACCTGGACGTGATGGCCTAATCTGCCTTAAAATCTACACGATAACCCATTCATTAAAAAGAAAAAAAAAAACAAACATGTTTTCTGAGTAGTTTGAATCTCTAATTGGTGCCAGGAAGGTAGTGTGTGCCCACGACCTCAAGTTCCTGTCTTTCTCATGAGCTCATTCAAGTTAATCCCCATCACTTGAATAACGGTCTCCCAGGGTCACGAGGGCCACCTATTGTAAATCCTGTAGTCTGAGTCTTCTGTGAGTCACTTTGTCTGTTGTGTAACCCATTGCTCCATCCTCTCTGGAACGCTTGTGGCTTTCTTTCTTTTCTTTTTTTTTGGTGCCTCGTTGCCGCCTCCTCCAGAGGGAGAGATGCTGTGTGCTCACGTGGAGAAGGGATGGAGGTGCAGAAAATGGGGTGACTCCCTCCATCAAGACCCTGTAGAAGGACATTTGCATTGGTCCATTTTCTGTTGTGCCGGTCAGCTCCTCATCACTCTGACCAAAATACCTGATAAGAGCAACTTAAATGGAGAAAAGTTTATTTGGCTCATGGTTTCGGAGGTTTAGTCCCCAGCTCTCCGGTGACTCTGGGCAGAACTCGTGGGGGAAGGGTGTTATGGGGGAGTGGGAGTGCTGCTGGCCTCGTGGCAGCCGGAAGCAGAGAGACAGGAGGGGGCTGCAGGGAAGATGCACCCCTCCTGGGCAGCCCCCGAGACCTTCCCCTCCAGCACCCCACCTGCCTACAGTTACTGCGGTCAATCCATTAAAACTAGGATGGGTGGTCAGGCCACAGCTCTCAGTCCAGTGACTTTACCTCTGAACACTTGGGCATTAACAGAGGAGCTCTGGGGAGATGCCTCCTGTCCAAACCATCACATGTGCGTGGAGTAATTTACAAAGAAAAAGGTTATTTTGACTCATATTTATGGTCCAAGGAGAGGGCTCACATCTGGGAATGGCTTTCTTTCTTTTTTTTTGTATCAGGACTGCACTCAGGGGTCTCGACCACTGAGCCACATCCCCAGCCCTATTTTTTGTATTTTATTAGAGACAGGGTCTCACTGAGTTGTTTGGCACCTGGATGTTGCTGAGGCTGGCTTTGAACTCTTGATCCTCCTGCCTCAGCCTCCCGAGCTGCTGGAGTTACAGGTGTGGGCCACCATGCCCAGCTGGGGATGGCTTTCTTAATGGCAGAGTCCCAAGGTGGAGCAGATCATCCTGTTTCAAGAGACACAGCTCATGAATGTCTCTCTTCTAGTCTCTCTCCCTCTTCTTAGAAAGCCACCAGTATTTAGTCAAGGGGCTCCACCCTAGTGACATCATCTAGCCCTCCCCAAAGCCCCACCTCAGATCAAGTTTCCTCTTTTTTTTTTTTTTTTTGGTAACAGGGATTGAATTCAGGGGCTCTCTACCACTGAGCCACATTCCCAGCCCTTTTTTAATATTTTATTTAGAGTCAGAGTCTCCCTGAGTTGCTTAGGACCTTGCTAAGTTGCTGAGACTAATCTTGAACTGTGATCCTCCTGCCTCAGCCTCCCGAGTCCCTGGGATTACAGGTGTGTGCCACCGTGCCTGGCAACCACTGCTATTTTTAATGAGCGCAAATGGTTTTTAAATAACAAAATAAAACATTTGTCTAAAAAAAGTATTGTTGATTTGATTTTACCTCATTATATAAGTTTTTAAAACTTTTCATAAAGTACATATTTATATCAATATGTATGTAACTAATGTATGTTTTTTCATGCTCACAAATTTCACTCATATGGATATGTAATCAAAATAATTTGGAGACCACTGCCCTGAAAAGTTGGGATCTCAAAAAGTATGTTCTCAACAGTGCACAGTATCATCCACACGCAGAGGGCTGGCTCCGTTCAGTGACAGAAGCCAGCGGTAATGCTAGAGAGTACCACCTTCATGGATAGGAAGACTTGCCATTGTAAATGTCACTTCTCCTCATTGATTTCTCTGAATTAGCTCACTAATTTAATGCAGTTTCAATCAAAATCCCAGTGGGATTTTTTATGCTGCCTGACAAGGCAATTTTTAAAATTTATATAGCAGTAAATGTTATGAATCACAAAGTCAATTTTGTAAAAAGAACAGGGAAGAAAAGCAAAGAGAATTGATTGAACAAAAATCAGAGCAGATCGTGAAGCCACCACAGGTGAGACATTGTCACAGCAGAGCAAGAACAGGGCAGGAGAAGCAAGGAGCTTTCAGAAACCGACCCGCGAATTTATGGAAATTTATCATATGTTCTAAAAAGAGTTTTCTAAAAACAACATTTCCAATCCTCAGATAATGTCCATGCTAGCCAAAAAATTATTTAAGGATAATCAGCAATTTCTCTGGAAAAAAAATACCTATAAATATGTAGTCTGGCTTCAACCACTCAAAAATCAACTTAAATATAAAACCTAAAGAGTTAATATAAAATGAATATAAAACAAAAAGAAAAGAGTTACATTAAATGTTTTACATTGTATAAAACACTATACCTTGGGTAAAGATAGTCTTCCTAAACAAGGCAGAATACAGAAGTTCCTTGTGCTCCACATGTGTAATAAGAATTGTAATGCCTTCCGCTGTCATATGTAAATTAAAAAACAAACAAACAAAAAAACCCAGAAGTTTCAATAGATATGATTAGTAAAACAGGCTACATCAAAATAAATTTTTTTGCAGGGGGGTTACTGGAGATTGAACTACTCAGGGGCCCTCGATCACTGAGCCACATCCCCAACCCTATTTTGTATTTTATATAGAGACAGGGTCTCACTGAGTTGCTTAGCACCTCGTCATTGCTGAGGCTGGCTTTGAACTTGCAATCCTCCTGCCTCAGCCTCCTGAGCCACTAGGATTATAGGCGTGTGCCACCGTGCCCTGCAAATCTTATTGTATTGATGTATTTCATGTAAAACAAATTGAAGGCATCTATTAAGAATTTCCAACACTAACCTTTTCTGTGAACCTGAATTATTATTTATTCACATCAACCCAAGAGATGTCCTCACAGAGATGCACAGGGAATCATGTTCAAGCACATTCACTGTGAGGCTGGGGCTGCAGCTCTGCGGCAGAGGCTTGCCTGGCATGCACAAGGTCCTGGGTTCAATGCCAGCACAGAAAAAACAAAAACAAAACAAAACAAAACTGCTGTATTGTACATTTATCAAAAAATCCAGACAAACTTTTTTTTTTTTTTTTTGGTATCTGGGGTTGAATTCAGGGGCATTCGACCACTGAGTCACATCCCCAGCCCTATTTTTTGTATTTTATTTAGAGACAGGGTCTCACTAAATTGCTTAGTGCCTCACTGTTGCTGAGTCTGGCTTTGAACTTCTGATCCTCCGAGACACTGGGATTACAGGGTGTGCCTTAGTGCCCGGCTCCTCAGACAACCTCTGGAATTATCAATAAATATGTAGCCTGGCCTCACACCACTCATACACAAACCAAATGTTCACCAAAAGAATGGCTAAATGAGACGTGGTTAGCTCAGGGCTAAGGGTGCAGCTCAGTCCTAAAGTGCGTGCCTCGCATGTGCAAGACCCTGGGTTCCCCAGTACCCCTCGCCCCCCAAAAAAGTGGTTAATTTACATTAATGTGCAACAATGTGAGAGCTGGGGACAGGTCCAAAGGAACAGTTAGG